CCCCAAAACCCCAAAACCCCAAAACCCCAAAACCCCAAAACCCCGTAATAGCTGCTTTATATTGAAAATTGAGATTTATTAATAAATTTAGGAACATGAAGTCGGATTTTATGGAGGAAAAGGCATGGGTAGATGAGACCTTGGGGGTGAAGGGAGGTCTTAGGTTCGGAAAGTGACAAAGGAGTTTTGGAATACGCTGATTGGGAATAAGGGGAAGTTGTCAGGGAAGGATTTAAGAGAGATATTGGATGTTGGGAAAGAGGAGAGAGAGGGAGGTTGATCAGGAGAGAAGAGATTTTTGGAATCTTGTGGTTCTAATGCTCAGTTCAAATTTAGCCATTTTGGGAGTTGTAAGCTAAAGATTCAGAAGTATGCTACTGGCATTAAATCAGGGTTTTCTTCTCTATCTTTAGCAAAGAAGCATACTAGTCATCTGAGAAGAGTTCCTTCATGTGACATCCTGAAAAGCCTGAGGTCATAGGAAATCCTCAGTTTAATTTGAGCATAATCCAAACTAACTGTCTTAATTCTTCACTAAAAATTCTAATTTAAATATACTGTCTCATGCATAAGGATTTTTAATAAATAGCTTAATGGAACATTTCGGTGTAGACTGAAGAAATAAATGCTTCCACAGAATCAATCAAGCCTTTGAGATAAGTTCCAGAATATCAGTATCCGGATTAGGAGTACTACAGACTTGGGAGCAGCCGGAGGTATGATTGCTTTTTACTATAAACAAGTTATTCTCTATAACTTTTGATAAGTTACTCAAAAAAATTCAGGGAAATAGGATAAGATATCATGATGCTAAGACAGTGTCTGGGCTGCTGGATATTAATTTTTCAAGTCGCATATGGCCCATATCCTTGCTTATGATCTCCTTGTATTTACTCTCAGGCCCAGAGTTCTTAAATTTATATGCGCGAGGTACTTTCCTATTGCTTAATCTTACTTTTGGAATATTAATATAAGGACGAAAATGGATTATAACTGTTGAATAACTGATTTCCATAGATCTTCTTACACCGTGAGTAAACTTCTCTTAAAATCATTAGTCAGCAAATTAACTTGCTTCTCATAATTTATATAAATATGAAATTCACCGATAACATGTCACTAATAGACTATAAATACATAAATTGAAGCTGAAACTACTGCTCACTTTGCCCTAACTTTTAACATCTACTTTTCTGAACTTTAATATCAGAAGAAGGCTATGTACACTCAAGAGTCTTAACTGCTTCTCAATAATTGAGTTTTCTGGTCTAACTATTTGACAGAGATGATAATTCTCCAAACAGAGCAAAATGAATTCTGAAGTTCCACTATTAATTAGCAAACTTTTTGAATGCTTCTGGAATAATCTATTATGCTCATGTGATAATACGAAGTTCAATATTTAACTTCTTGGATACTACTAATCTCTGACTGGTGGTCTTTCACCTTCGTTTCTAAAGCTAGTATAACTTTTAATCTTCCCTTATGGCTTCTTAAAAATTGCTAACTCCTTTATCAGAGATAAAAGTAAACTATTTTAAGCCAGAACTTCATATTTGTCTGAAGATCCTCAGATGGAGATTTTGTACGGACTGGTGGAGGATGGACTAGCTGGAAAAGCAGGGGATGTATAGCAGACAGCTCTGTTCAGTTTTAAAGATGTTTCTTCATTGTAAGAAAGATCTTTAGCATAACTGATATCCAATATTTCCTAAAATCACCAAATCCTGTATGGTTTTATAAATTATCGATTTTCGAAGTTCTGAAAATAATAAGACGCTTCACCAAAAATAGCATCCAACCAGGTTATCGGCCATGGAAGAGTGCTGAACTATAGCCATGTGTGTGGCCCTCCTATGTGCTTACTAATGGAGTTTGAAAAACTCTAATTTTTCATTTTTTAGACAAAAATCTAGAAATCAAATTATTTTGGGGTCACAGCTCAAAATACAAGCTATCCAATTTACGCCCTACTATTAGGGTCTAAACCTTAAAATTTCTTTGAAGTCCATGGGCAGTCAGCACTAGCAATTAGCTTTATGAGTTTAAAGGGATCCTCATCTCTTTAATGTGATATACACATCTGATCCTTGTAGCAATCAAAGTTCTTCCGGAGGAGTTATTTCAGAAGTCAGTATAATGTTGCGAATAAAACTGATCAAAATTTCAAGTTCAGTTATGAGATCCTATCTAGAGCCAGACGATTCCTTCTTTTTAGAATAAGATAGTGAAGACTTCAAGGTCTGAGTTCATGCTTGAATGAGCCTGTAGGATTACAGGATTGTTCAGCCTGATGAAGCGAGCTGTACAAGATTATTAGATATTAGTAGCTTCTACTTTATCATAAAGCCGGCATTGAAAAGTTATTTTTCAATGAGAAAGATCATGCTGATCTTGTGCATGGTCTAAAGCTCTCTTTAAGCTCAGTATAATGATAAAGTTAGGCATAAATGTCTCTACAAACTCAGAGGGAAGTGAACCTTATCGACTTGGCTTTTATAGCATAAAATAAAGCTTCGAACTTTTCTAAAATATTTTTTCTAGGTGAAATGAGAGATTTTCGCAGAGGGATTGCCCAATGCCGAATTTTAAATGACTATACTAAAGAAACATAAGATCTAATATTTAAAATTTTATCTTGCTGGTATACCTATATACACTTTGTGTAATCTATAGTTTACTGTTGTGCTAATGTGTATCCATATTGATCATGAGAGAGATTTAGCTTAATAAAATGTAGGAAACTCTTTTGAGGTGGAGAAAAGAGAAGATTTCATCCTTGAAATATTGATGATTGAAATATCTAGAAGAGCCATGGGAAAAGAAATCTTCCTTATTAAAAAATGAAGAGGTTTTAAGTAAAAATCTGAAATTCCAAAAGCAATAAAACTTTAATAGCACTATAAACCCTTCTAAAACTCCAAAATACCTTAACCTCAGTCCATAAGTCCCTATATTCCACCAAAACTATCCAGAATCCATCATAAACATTCCCCATTCCCTAAAACCCCTCTACACCCCAATCTCTCCTTCCTATCCCTCTGACACTCCCTAGCCCATCTTCCCTTCCAACTCCTCAATCTCTTCCTGAACCTCTGGGTTTTTGGGGTTTTGGGGTTTTGGGG